CATCAAATTTGAATATTATCTTTTTAGAGATTGTTTTGGTTGTTAATCCCTGCAATGATATTATATGTTAAAAAAATCTTCAAACCTACAAAAAATATATAAAGAAAGGCGTTTAATTCAATTAAAAAAGCTTTTTACCTTTGATAGAAATTTCCGTGTATATGTAAGATTATTTGAATGTGAATATCATACTCATCTCGCAAAACCATTTAAATAAAATCAACTTGAGATAAATGTTTTTTGGCGTTGACTTTTGGAGAAGTGAATTGGAGGAGGCTATGTATAACTCCTAAAATCATATCTTATATATATAGTGGAGGAGGCTAGGTATAATTATGATTAGTGGGCTAAGTAATTTTTTCTTTAAGTGGTCGATTTTGAGAGAGTCAAATTGTAATTATGAGAGAGTCATTAATGGGCTAAGTGGTCGATTTTGAGAGAGTCAAATTGTAATTATGAGAGAGCCATTTGTGGGCTAAGTAATTTGGCGTTGAGTTGTCGATTTAGTGGGCTAAGTACTTATGATTATTGGACTTAATTAGAGAGTCAAATTGTCATATCATATTTTATCAATGCCATGTTATAATAAAAATAGAAAAATAATTTTAGAGAGGACACCTAAACTAATCACTTCTCTATTAATATATAAGGGATAGAATATATTTTATCCAAAGAAAAAAAAAATTGTGCTTACATCATTCCGCAATTTATAAACAAACAGGGCATGCATACAGTATAAGTGCATGCCTTAGTTTTTAGGGCGAATTGCAACACCTTTGACAAAGAGACCGTTCTTCCATCTGCCGGATTTGATCTCATACATGGAGAAACTGATTTCTCCAGCATTCTCTGGCGATGTCATGAACTCACCGGCAGGTATATCTACCCACCATTTCCCTATATTCTCCTTCAAGCTCACACTTCGCTCTTGCGGTATTGCAGTACTATTGGGCAAAGTCAACTTGAGATTCACCGGTGTCGTCCATCCATACGCTGTATCTTCTAACTTTACAACGTAAACCACCTCGTACATTGTATCTGGTGTCAATTCTCTCGTGTCAAACTTTCCATCAATCGCTAACCAGCAAACTGCTTCGAGTACAGCAGCTTCAATGAGTGTCTCACTTGAAGAAACAAAAATAACAAGAAACAAATGATAACCGGGTTATGTAAAGGAATAGAGTGAAATTAAAACTTTTTTAGTAGAATGTTACTTTAGCTTTACTCTTTTTTATCGTAAGTTTTTAAACTTGAAAAAAAAAATATAATTCATTCCCAAAAAAAAAATTCTTTTGTAGAATGTTATTTCGATTTGATCAGTAGAGTGGTCATTTTTTAATTTAGGGGATAATTGTCTATAGAAACTTTTCTCCATAGTAAAGCATTTTTCTTGAAAGGATGATAGATTAATAAAAGGATGAAAGGAAATTTCTGTTTATAAAAATAGATACAAATGGAAAACCATTACCACTCAGTCCGGTTTTGAGTGGTTTCGAATTCATTTTTTTACCAAAATATAAGCAGGGTCGTGCTTTCCATGTTGCAAAAAAGGAATTGGCCTAGCGGCCTGAAAAATATTGTATAATTTTAGGGTCTATTTTCTCAAAAATTATTTGCAGTCTAGTGATAAAAAATTAAGGTATGAGAATTTTTTGAGATTCTCTTTCCAAGTTTTAAGAGAAATTTCAAAAAATGCCATCTTTCAAAATCTTTGCAAAAATACCAATTTTTAAAAATTATTTTTTTATTATATAATTTATATTTGGGTTAACTATGTTGTATTAGGGTTTAGTTTTGAATGTTTAGGGGTCTTAGGGGTCAAAATATTTTTAAAGGTTTAGAATTTTAAGATATAGGTTTTATAAATCTATAATTAGTGGTATTTTTGCAAATGAACACCTCTAGGTGGCATTTTTGCAAATATGCACACAAAAAGTGACATTTTTGCAATTACCCCAAGTTCTAAACTATTTCCATACTAAAATAAGAATTCATTTTTTCTTAATAAATTTCATTAGTTTTTATTAGCACTCTAATAATTATTTGAAATTACCATTAAATTTTCTATCTATATTTTTTGTTTTTTAAATTAGAAAGGCTTCCAAATTTTTCTGATACGGTTTGGTTCAATTAAACAAGATCCGAAACTCACACCACTACTCCAATGATAGTGTATTAATCGAAAATATAAATGAAAGTTATAGAATTCTTTACTTTAACAAAAAAAAAAAAAAAGAATTATTTACCTTCTCGCATACCGGAGAGGAAGCCATGACCAATACTCGTTGTTATCCCACCATGCGATGCTAAGATCCCTTGCGTAGACCATGTGTTCCTGTCGAAAAATTATCAACCTCAGTAATATATATATATTGACCCAACAAATTAAACACTCGAAAAAGAGGCTATGAATAGTTAAACCTTCCCTTTAAAAAAAAAAAAAAATGTACACAAGTAGAACGTCGTAGCCACCTGAACAGAATGAGTATTCGCCATCGTTGTTGACACCCTCGAAACTTTATCCTTTGTTAACGTTTAGTTGATGAATGAGAAGAATTTAAAGTGCGTGTTTTTGTTCAGCAATGATATTCTGAAACTGGCTTATACAAAAGCTAAGTATATTGTAGATATATAAAAAAAACAAATTTAGAAATTAAGTCACAAAAAAATACAATATAATCTTTGTTTGGCTACTTGATCAATCATTTTAGAGTTGACTTTTGTTTAATCTTATTATTTTTGTTGATTGGTTCAAGGGAAACTCAAATTAGTAATCTTTCTTGAAAGCTTCTAATCTATTTTATCATCAATTGGACGAATAATAAATTGATCCATATCTTGGATCCAAAAGGTAAAACGAGTCATCAAATATTGATGTATATACTAATCAGGTAGTTGTATTTTAGTAGTTTCTCCTTACTCATCCAAGTTTCCCATTGAATGCCTCCAACGACATTTTTTTTCAAGAAAAAGGCATTCTATTAGAAACTAAAATGGAAAAATAGAAACAGAAAAACAACTTTAGAGGCTAAGACACAAGATTCCCTTGAATGTATTCGTTTAATCATCTGACTAGCTAGTTATATCATACACAAATCCAACTATCTATACCTATAAATGAGAAGTCATTTTTCCTATGTGTCGGATCTACAGCGAGTTTGAGATTTGCTTTGCCGAAAATACTCTTAATAAAATTGCTCAATTATTTTATGTGCGATCGATTTTTTTATTACAATAAATATTGGGTTCGGCTTTTTTATCATAGACCATAGTATATGTAAACCCTAGGTAGCAGCTCTATAACTTCGTATATATATATATCTGTGTTTTAGGGTTTGGCCACAATATGTTCTTGTCGTTGATCCTAATATATTTCTTCCATCTAACAATTGATCGTGTTCTGTGATATCTTTTTTCATTTT